GTGGGGGCGATATGCTGACTCTGTAAACCGCTTAGAGAGGGCTGAAAGCCCTATGAAGCGGTATATAAGTCGAACTGCTATTGCTATTGCTAAATGGAACTTCCATAAGTGCGTGAAAAATGAAGGAAAGCTTTCCTTATAAAACCACCAGGTTTTCTGATGGGCCCTGCAGCTGAGACTTCTGGAAGTTAATATTTCAATACCTCAGGAGGAAAGCAGGCTGTTCTATCAAGTATTGTACAAGTCAACTGTCACTGGCGAGAATCAGTCAAGTGCTTATGACAGTTATACAATCATGTCTCAGGGCATATTATTCACAGCATATTACTAAAAAAAAAATGAGGGTTTGTTTAGCTCTAACGACCACAGATCCTTGATCGTCGTCACTGGACTATACTATTCCTTTCCCAATCATTTCCAAATGGTAGCTAGCACCTTAATACTGACAAAAGAGAATATTTGTAGCTCAGGGTTTGAACTGTGAGGTCTTTGGTGCTCTCTGAGCCTTGGGCTAGTTTGTCTGCATACATTTCATTGCCAAACTAAGTAACGTCAGCACGGATACCTCTAATGATGTCACCCACTTTACTAATGAAACATATGCAAGAAAACAACCCAGCTCAGAGAGCACCAAGGACCCCACACCTCAATAGCGCATAGCTGAAATTATATTGAACTGATGCCTCAAATTTCTAATGCCCTTCCAGCATCAGAAATATGTATGAAATACATAACACTTGAATGAAACTCAGGCTGATAACTGAATGAAGTTCAAACAACATGCTAGATTTAAATATTCTGCTTGATTTGATTTTTTAAAATTTATCACTTAGGGAAATCTTCCTCAATCAGAATTTCAGCATGTAAAAAGGGGAAAAAACTGGATCACAGTGCAGGGAGAGGATTTTCTGAGAACATCATTACTGTAGGGGAGCAAATGAGTTATTTCTGTACTCTCTTTTTCATTTATCTTCTTTTGGGGTAAATGTAGTACTGTTAATGTACTACTAATGGCTTATTTAAAATCTCTTCAATCATATACAGGTAGTCCTCGACTTACAACCACAATTGAGCCCAAAATTTATGTTGCTAAGTGATAAATTTGCTAAGTGAGTTTGCTCCATTTTATGACTTTTGTCACCACATTTGTTCGCTGCAGTTCTTAAATTAGTAACCTGGTTGTTAAGTGAATCTGGTTTTCCCATTGACTTTGCTTGTCAGAAGATCGCAAAAGGAGATCACATGACTCCAGGACATTGCAACCATCGTAAATGTGAGTCAGTTGCTAAGCATCCAGATGTTAATCACGTGACCGTGGGGATGCTGCAAAGGTCATAAGTGTGAAAAATGGTTGTAAGTCATGTTTTTAGTGCTGTTGTAACTTTGAACAGCCACTAAATGAACTGTTGTAAGTCAAGAACTACTTGTGTAAATCAGGGCTTGTAACTTCTTGAGGGATGAGGTTGCAATTGTATGCCTAAGAGAAGCACAGTAATGGATAATTGGACTTTAATTAATGCAAAATAAGAGAAACAAAACAAATACCAGGGATGCCTAATTTCAACAAAGAAATTAGAATTTTAATTGATCTGGCACTGAAACCCTTGACTATAACTTTTCACACATTTTGTCACTACTTGGGACAGCCCGTCAATGAACCCGGCACTTGCGTTCCAGATTCAGTAATAGCCGTGAACTTAATTCAAATGTAACGGTGGCAATGCTAGAAACCAGTGGTGGGATTCAGCCAGTTCGCACCCTATTCAGGAGAACCGGTTGGTAACTTTCTAAGCAGTTGGGAGAACCAATTGTTGGAAGAAATCTCCTTTTATTTTTTTTCCCACTTTACAGGGCTAATCCTGTAAGGAAGGCAGGAAGGAAACATTCTGGTGTTGTTTCTAGCCTAATCTTTATTGCCCTG